TTCCAGTACATTTTAGAATTCATTTTAAAATCTTGGTACTGACTTTTAAAGCTTTGAATTGTGATGCCCCTGCCTACATTTCTGATCTTTTAGAACCCCACGCTCCCTCTCGCAGCCTGAGATCATCTAATCAAAGGCTGTTGGTAGTCCCACGAACTCGTGTTAAGACCAGAGGTGATAGATGTTTTAGAGCGGTGGCCCCCAGGTTGTGGAATGCTCTCCCTCCATCATTACGTTGCCTTGATTGTATTTATTCTTTTAAAAAGCAGCTTAAGACTCATTTATTTAGATTGGCTTTTCATTAGATTTGTGCTGTGTGTTTGATTATTAATGTATTTTATGTATTTCTGTTTTATATTACTGTGAAGCACTTTGTGGTTTTTATCCTGTGAAAAGTGCTATATAAATAAATTGATTTGATTTGATTTGATAATGTTCCAGTCCAGAACTCAGCCCGAGTGAAATGCTTTTTGGGGACATCTCTCTTAAGGTCCTTAAGAGAGATGTCCCGAAGTAAATTTCCACAGTCCTCAATGAGCTAAAGCAAAGAAGAGTGGGACAAAACAAAAAATGTAAGAGATTAAAAGTTTTACAGAAAGTGGCAATTCGATCCTCATAAAGTGTTCCATTTTTATGTAAGATTGTGACTTTTTTCACGTCTTTTTTCAAAGGTTTTAGTATCCTAAACTGTAATTTTACCACTGATCCTGGTCTTTGTTGCCTTTTTGGCACCAAACTGTTCCTCCTGAGCTTTAGACTAACACAAAAGCAAATTGTTGCTACAGTTGCCTTTCCTCAGATGCATATTTGCCAGTGACAATTAATTGTTTATAAGTGTAGATTTTGAGGATATGTTAATAGTTTGTTTTTTACCCCACACACTGTCAGTATGTATTTATTTGTATGCCCGTTTCCTTGAGTCAGATCCTCAGAGCTTGAGCGTGGTTTTGCCAGATACTCACGCTGATCCCTCTACTGGCTTCTGAGTGATAGGCATCTCTTCCATGACTGTGTGACAGACGGACAGAGATAGAGCTGTGTTTGAACAGTAAACAAACTTGCTGTACCGAAAACACACAAAAAAGAGAAGAGCAGAAGCTAACAGAACATTTCTGTTTGTCTTTCTCCCATTGCCTCCTCACCCGGGGCATGCCTCCACATTGGACTCAGTGTATGCCTCTGTGTGTGTGTGTGTGTGTGTGGTCATTGTGGCGAATGATCTGATAAGAAGGAGCTAATCCTGTTGAACCTCTGTGGTCGGTCACCAGTCTTCACTCAAAAGGGAAAATTAGATGTTGTGCCTCTCCAACTGCATGTTTTTGGGTTTGTGACTCGTACTGTGTTTGAATGGAAATGATAATTTACTCTTTAACTACAAGCAAACTGATATTTAGATGTATACTCATCTGAGACTTTATTAGGTTGACCTTGCTGGTACTGGGTTGGAGCTTTTTACCTTTAGAGCTAGCTTAAATTCTTAATGGAATAGATTCAACAAGGTGCTGGAAACATCCCTCAGAGATTTTGGTCCATATTGAAATGATAACATCAAATAGTTGCTCCAGATTTCCTAACTGCACATCCGTGATGCAAACCTCCCATTCCACTACATCCCAAACATGCTCTATTGGATCGTGATCCAGTGACTGTGGCAGTCATTTGAGTATGTTGTATTCAAGAAACCAGTTTGAGAAGATCTGAGCATGACATAACAAATTGTCCTCCTGGAAGCAGCCATTGCAAATTGAGTACTCTGTGGACACAATGGGATGTACATTGTCAGCAATAATACTCAGATAGGCTGTGGTGGCTAAATAATGCTCAGTTGGTACTAAGGAGCCCAAAGTGTCCCGAGAAAATACCCCCCCGCACCAATACACCACCAGCACCTGAACTGTGTATGCAAGCCAGGATGAATCCATGCTTTCATGTGGCTCACACCTAATTTTGACCCTACTGTCTTAATGTTGTTGTGACTCAATGAATTAGAGGTGGTTGGGCAGAAAATTCCCATTAGATCAGCGTTCTCCAAAATGATCAAAATAGCACAACATAACAACCGTGCCACATTTAGGTCACTAAAATCTTTTTTTTGTTCGATTCCGATACTCCGTTTGAACTTCACCAGGCTCTCTCCAATGCATTTAGGCGTCTACATGCCTAAATGCATTGACTTGCTATCATGTGGTTGGCTGATTGGATAGTTGGGTTAGTGAACAGTTGAAAAAAGTGGCCTGTGCGTACATGATGCAGCTCATGTCCACTGCCTGAACTAGCTTTCAGAACAAAAGAAGAGAAAACAATCCAATACACAATGTGTTTGGGATCCTGTATCATCACTCTGCCTCTCGTTGTCAGCCACAGCTCCAGTTGACTGATACTGCTGACAATTATCAGACTCACCATTATGACTCATGTGAAAAGGTTGGATAATCGTCACCCCTGGACGGACTTGCTTTGGGTACTCAATTAGAAATATTTTCTCTCTGAGCTGCAGAGACATTAGTAAATACCATTAGCTGAGTTCAGAGATAAAAACCAGGACATCACATCAGTTCTAAACTTAGGCAAACTGGTTTTCATCATATAGAAACTAAGTACCTGAAAACTGGGACTTTTCATTTAATTCTTTCAAAAATATTTTGCTGTTTTAGTTACTTTGAGAAGCAGGATGAGAATGTAATTTCATTTTATATATGTGAGAGTATCCACACTATATATCCATAATAATATACCAAAGGTTTCCATTAACACAAGGCTGGTTAATGAGGAAATGTCAATCGAGCGGCAGTTTTTAATGTTACTGCATTATCTTTCAACTACAATCTTTGGGAACTTAATCATCAAATGCCAAAAATGACTTGATGATGCTCTTTAAGTAGGTTTCTTTTGGCTGTACGAAGTATTCACTCTGACAATATTTCCAAAAGCACCACAATGTGCTTTATAAATGGACTGGCTTTGTGATTATAAGTAATCTTTACATGTGTTGGTTGATATCTACAGTTAAAAGCCTGATAAATGTATGTTTCTACATAATTTGGAAACAGTAGAAGTATCCCAGCTGCCTTCATTTGGAATATAAACATATAAATGTTGCTGCTGTTTTGTTCGGCTTGCTTCAGTGGGTTGCAAACACACCAGTGGAGCCAGACATGCACACTAAATCACAAAATATCTTCACTTGTGCTATGTAGAGCTTTTTTATTTTTATTTTTATTTTGATTTGTACTCTAAATAAACGGTCCTTGCAAAAACAAATGCTACAATTCTCCCTTTTCCATTTTGAAGTATTTTCTCTGTTTGCTCCCTTTCTCCCATTCCCCCGTCCTCCCTCTTTTCCAGGGGAACTTTGTGCCTTGCTTTGACAGCAGTTCCCCTTTTTTCTGATTTCCCATGCCTTCTTCCTCTCATATTCCCACCGACTTTTCCACAAAAGCTCTCCTCTGGTGGTTTCTGCCAGCAGAGCTATGATACATTTGTGTTTGCCTTGACCTCAACTCATCCTTCAAACATGGAACTTAAAATTTCACTCTATATGACATACAGTAAGTGACATTAGCCGTTAGAAACAGAAGCACATTTACAGTGGGGTGAAAAAGAAAGTACTCCATCTTTCACTTCTAAGGTTTTATGTATCTGAGCATAATTAAAAAAAAGAATCGCTGACCTCAGATGACCAGAATGACATGATATATTTCATCATATCAGTGTTTTTTTTTTTTTTTTTAAAAGTAAGGCAAAATGCAGAAGCAGTGTGTGAAAAACTAACTACACCTTTACTGCTTCCACAGGAATTAAGAGAGTAATCATCATCAGCAAGTGTGGCCATCTCTATTAAAGCAGAAGTTTTGGCAGTTTGCTGTTCTGGTGTGCGTTAACACAATGTAGGAAAGACATCAGCAGTGATGAATGAGAAGCCATTGGAGCTCAGTCAGGGAATGGTTATATGGCCATTTCTTCCATTACTCTATTGTGAGTTGCATTCTTCCTAGAAGTGGACATTCCAGCAAATTCACACCATGGTCAGATTGTGCAGTGCTCAAAGAAACTCCCAAAAAAGTTTTTGATAATACAATTGGAAAATATTGCACAAGTATGTCTTGTGTCCTTTGGACATACAAGACTAGTGTATAGATGTCTGTATATAATGCAACTAAAACCCAGAATATCAAGACAAATACCTCATACCACCACCATGCACAGTGGTGCTGGGGTGACTACAGGACCTGGGCTCCTTGCAGTCATTGAATCGACCAAGAACTCGTCTGTATACCAACGTATTCTAGAGTCAAACGTGAGGCAATCTGTCTGACAGCTGAAGCTTGGCGTACCTTGAGCTATGCAGCAGAACAATGACCCAAAGCACAGCAGCAAATCTGCGAGAGACAGTCCAGATCAGCTGAAATGCTGTGGCAGGACAGCACAGCATGTCCACAAACCTCAATGAACTGGAGCAATGCAGTAAAGAAGAGTGGGCCAAAATTCCTCCTGAACGAGAGACTGATAAAGTCGTACAGCAAATTATTACTTCAAGTTTATGCTGCTGATCTACTGAATCACAGGGAGGACTTAGTTTTTCAGACACTGCTTCTGGCTTTTTGGGTCAGTGTTTTTTAAATAAATAATGACATGTGTGTTGTTGTGCATCCAAGGTGCTAAATAATTTTAGATATGTATACATATAAACACACATAAAACCTTAGAGTTAAAAGAGGGATACTTTCTTTTTCACATGACTGTATGTACTGTATGTACAGGCTGGGGTGCTTCCCTTTGACCTCTGCTGAAGGGAGAAAAATCGCTAAAAAGAATTCATCTTCCATGATTAGCATGGGAAAAAAAATAGGGCTTTTAAATGACCTCATTTACCATGTCAGCTTTCTTTCTGCCTCTGCCTATAGCATTGTAGATGTGAAGTGTATATGAAGTTTACTTTAAGACTGTCTGACTTAAGGCTTAACTAACGTGTACTAAAGGCACCTCTGTCTAATTTTCAGATTGTCCTTCCTGCCAAACCGGAGCTACAGCGACAATGGACGGACAATTCTGGCCAATGAGCAGGAATCCCAGGACTCTCTTGGACCTCTATGAGGATGACTATTTTAAAAACAGAACTGTGATGAACCTTGAGGTGGACTTCCTCAAATAATAGTGATCGTGTCCCTTCTGGATATTCGAGCTATGATAATGCATCATCATTGTCTGATTTACTTTACTTACTGGTCCTGTCCATGGATCTCTAAAGATGTTCATTACTCAAGTGTGGAGCATCAGAACGGACTTGTTTGTTATAAAATAGTTGGATCAAGGAACTGTGCAAATGTTTCCAGGCATGCTCTTATTATAAAGCCCAAAGAACTAGTCTGGATCCTGGGATCAGCGAACTGCAAGCCCATCCATGTTAACATAATGTGAGACTCATTAACCTAACTTAAAACCACAAGCTGTAGCAGAGCTACCTGCCTGCTGCTCATACAAATGTTTGTTCATATAAGAATACGGCTTCTTTTACAGTACTGCTTTCTTTTCCTGTCTTTTACCAGCATAAACTAAACAGCTAAGGTGGCACTGGAGTATGACACAGAGTTTTTAAAAAGGACTTCATAATTTCTGTTTTTCATTTCTAATCCTGCTGTGAACAAAAACACCAAAGACTGAAGACATGGACATTTTTGATTGATTTCTCCCAGGAAAGGCATCAGCGGCATCATGCAGTTCAAACAGTGCTGAAGCACCTGCATAACGTTTTCATGGAACATAAAACATGGCCGGACTTTTGTATGCAGGCCAGCCGCAAAGTTGAAGTGTAGCTTTACGCCAATGTGAAAAAATGTATGTCAAAACATTTATCGTGGTTTTCATCGTTCTGCAGAGAATGACGGTGATCTGTGTTGGAGAATATGCTTTACTTTTGTAAATTTATAAGATAAACTTCTGTAACAAAGCACTGAAAGTTCAGGCGCATTGCCATAAATGTGTCTGAAAAAGTGAAGGTTTCAGGAATGTGAAGAAAAATCCGCTCTGGTGTTTGTGCTTGTGAATGAGTCCAGTTTCCTGTATTCTTTCATGTAAATAAGGCTGCTGTGAAACATGAAGAGAAATCACTGGCGCATACAGTCACCGGCCACTTTGTTAGGTACATCTGTGAAACCACCTGTAGGTGCAAATATTCAGTTAGTTAATCACATGGCAGCAATTTATATTTACACATAGTCAAGACAAACTGCTGAGCTCTGGAGGAAAAAGAGGGTCCAACCTTGTACTAACAAGGCATAACTAATCAAGTGGCCAGTGACTGTAGTTGGATGAATAAGACACTTTGAAACAAGAAGCAGTCTCACATATCAAAAAATAGATACAACAGCAATATATTAGAACACCAGAAGTAATTTCTAGTAGCCAAAGCTTAGTGTATGCAGGTCAATGTACAATTTACAAACTGAGCCAGCTGTACATGGATCAGGATCAGGAAATACCTGCAACCTTCTGTCACATATTCAGTTTATCTCAGAGCTGGGCCTTAAATCCTGCAAACCTTTCTCAGTCATGTATTTCATTATGTGTGACTTAAGGAAAGTTAAAAAAATCTTGCAAAATTTTACTGAAACAGGAGAAAATCTTTTCAGCCAACATTCACCAATTATAATTTAGAGAAGTAGAAGACTTTATGTCAGTGAAGCACAAATAAGTACATGTATATACCAATATAGCGACTCACAGGGTGCTTTATGAGCTATAGGTATTACACTGCCAGTGCTGGGTTGGACCCCCTTTGCCTTCAAAATTGCCCTAATTCTGTGTCAAAGATTCAACAAGGTGGTGGAAACATTCCTCAGAGAAATTTGGCCCGTATTGACATGATGAAGTTGCTGGAGATTTGTTGGCTGCAAATCTGTTATGTTGTAAGGTAAAGACCTACAATAATACAGAGAAAAACCCAACCAGGTGACCCCCTGTGAGGAAACAATTGGCATCAGTGGGAAGGAAAAAACACAGAGAAATACATACACATAGCATATCAGACTTGAATACACTCACTGGAACAAAGTCTGACAATTGCTCATATAATCAATTGCCCTCCCTGTTAGATGTCATGTTTCACAACATGAAAAAAATATCAGCAGCCTCGTGCTTGCATTTACAGAAGCACTGCATCTGCTGTAGATTGTAATAAATTCAGGATCGGGTTTATTTTGCACAAAGGCAGTTTTCAGCTGAGGTGGGTATGAAGGTGTGGAATTTCACAAATGAAGAATAACAGACTTGGAGCTTTTGAGTTGCTTGATCAGTGGACTGATCAAGTGGACTGTTTTAAAGGCAAATTAGGTGACTTTTGACCACTAGAGGGCAGAAACACTGTAAAACAACCTCAAAGAGCCCTTCAGTGGGATTTACAACTCAATGTTAAATCTACGCTGTAACTTACTTACCTAGGTATGTGCTAATGCAGCTTGTAATGACTGTAATTTGCCTATTCCAGCACCATCTAGTGTTTCATTAGAGAAACTGCAGAACAGCTGCACAGCCTGCAGCCCAGGCTCTACATAAATTCATTGCATAAGCCTAAATCAGACTTTAAGGGAGTACCTGTAATTACCTATTAGTACTAATTTTGTCTAATTGAACATATGAAAACAAGTTGATGTGACATAGTGCCTACATTTAAAAACAACAACTAAAAGCAGTACAGTTTGGCACCACTGGTGACTCCTTTACATTTTCCAGACTCCTTTGATTCCAAGGTTTATTCTAAGTTTAGCCCACATGTTGTCTGTCTAAGTTGGTCTCCATCTATCACAGCGCGTTTTGAGTTTGACTTACAAAGGCGTGAAGCTATTATCCGCCTACTGTCTGTCATCACTAATATCTGCGTTATATTGTCCTTCTGCATTTAAAGCATCAGTTAACACCTCTTCTTTCTTTTTCTTCTCAGTTCACAGCCTCCATGTATTTCATGTTTATTAGACGTGATAAAGATGCCAAGAAATGAAAGCATTTTAAACATTTTGACTTCCAATCTGCAACAAGGTGTAAACAAAAATTTATAGATTTGTCATATAAGGCTCATATGTTGCACATGTTAACAAAGAGCGGTTTATTTACACATTGACTCTGCACCAGGCAACATTAGCGTTTTTGGCCACCTAACAGAATAACATCCAATAGACAAGCTCCTTTTAGCTCTGTTTCTTTAATATAGTCCATCTGATTGCTGAAATCATTAAGATCCATCTTCTGCTGGAAAGAAAATACACATATATGGTCCTTAGAGTCTGTAGTTTAAGCAGATTGTCCTCTTTCCCCCAGATTTTGGCAGGGGGAAGCCTATTGTAGTATTTGTGCCTTCTATTGAATGTTCACTTGTCTCAAATTGAGCTCTGTGATGTGATCCTTTCTTCAGCAAGCCGGCATGAGAAAGCAGGCTCTCTGTGAGGCTGAAGCATTTTTAACAAGCTTTCATTATTGTTGGAGGTGGTAGGCAGTAATTACACACAAAGCCCCTCATCAGAATCCTGTTTGGTAACAGCAAACCTGAATATCTCCAATCATTCCCAGTGCTGCTAAAAAAAGAAAAAAGAAAACAAATGACTTAGGTTGGGAGTTTGCTGGCCGTTAACTAAACGGTGAATTCATTATATTGTGAGCCTTCTCACAACTCTCTGACTCCGCTGCAATCCTTCTGGGATTATAGCCTGTCCAAGACCTGGAGATCTCAAGGCTCTGGCTCATATAGCACCACAGTGCCAGAGCTGGACCCGGTCTTCTAAAAACATTTGGCTCGAACATCATTTTTAACCTAACAAGACATAGATTTATACTTCCATCTATGGTACTGAAAAAAAATAATGTTGACTGCAATGGAGATGTTTTTGTTTCAGGGTCTGATCTCTTATAGCAAACAGGCCTGCACAACGCAAAACAATTTGTTTGAGGATATAAAATGTGGTACCTCATCATGGGGGTTTATCACTCTTTCCACATGGAGGCAAGATCTTAGAGTTAACTTCAAAGCACGGCCCCAAGAGCCACTTTTAGGTGTGTCTCAATCATTAGGAAGCAGTCCCACATGGTTCCTATTGGAAAAACTTAAATAAGCTAGCTGTAAGCAGTACATTAAGCTTATTAGACATGCTCCTGCTCAACCAACCTGTTAGTCTCAACCAACAAGTATTTTCTTTCATAACACCAAAAAAAAAAAGAGTTTGAAAATTCCTTCAGTGAAGCACAAATCTTACTTTAACATGCAGCAAGTTTTACTCATCGTGTACATCGAGTTGTAGCGGGCTCTCTACTGCCCCCTGTTATCAGAGCTCAAAACAAATCCCACTGGTTGGGCAAATTTGTAGGTAATTTCTATTGGGAAAACTGCGCTAAAGAACAGTGCATAGCCACAACCAGCACCACCCGGGCCTGTCTCAAACGCAAACAGTTGTTTCTTCAAGCCAAGTAAAAGATGAGCAGAAGACATCCAGCTGCGCAGCAAAAACTAGTACCGACACACGGTGCTACTTGGAATACAACAGATGAGCCAGTTCAGGTGAGGGGGTTTGTTTTTCCCCATTAGTCTTATAAAGCGACGGATTGTAGATGTCTTTAATGGATTTGAAAGTTTAGAAAATGACTGGTGCAGGGCAGAGAAAAATTGGATGGGAATAAAGAAAGCAGAAATCAGAGACTCTCATAGACTTCCTGCTTAATACCACCAGATGTCGTCGCAACCCTACTAACTGTGATGGGCTTTTCTATTCAGCGGGTAGAGTAGGAGTTCATATTACTGAGGGGGGGGGAGGCTTCTGTTTGTTTGTTCAGATTTTGACAGGAAAAGCATCATGCCTGTTATAAGTGTCAGCTTTCCAACACAGGAAAGCCTCCATCACTATGATAAGTGCTATGAGCTACAAGTCTACCGCTGGAACTTAAGCTAAACTATCTTTTTATGATTGCTTTGTTGTTATTATTATTACTATTATTATTAAGGTATGAAATGGAAATCTCACAGGAGTGTAATCCAAATTCAATGATTGTTAAATAATTTTTAAGTCTATATTTAATCCAAAACAATAGTAATAGTAAGTAATAAGTGACCAAATGCTGAAAAATCTATATACACACAACTGATAAAGCTGAAAATCAGTTTTGACTGTGCTCCTCAGGCCATTACGCCACATTGTATTAAACACAAATATCACTTTATAAAATATACCTGTACAGATTGCTCTTAATGGGCCGGGGCACCCCTACTGGCTTCTAAGCTGCCTAAATTCTTTGTGATTCAAGATGTAGGAAACACTCCTTAGAGATGTTGTCCATGCCATCCTGCTGGAAGAGCCATTAGATGCTGTGATCATAAAGGGATGAGCGTGGTCAACAACATTGCTAAGGAAGACTGTGGCATTTAAAGCACAGTTGATACTACGGGACAGGAACCATTGGTACAAGTCAGGAGGGATCCACGCCTTTATCTTCTCACTGTACCATCCAAATGTCACAGCAGAAATCAAGATTAGCCAGACCAGGTGATGTTTTTCCATTTTCCTGTTTGTTTCCCATGATCTTGTGTAAGTTTCCTTTCTTAGCACACAAGAGTGGAACCTGGTGTAGTCTTCTGCTGCTGTAGTCCACATTCTTCAGTTTGGCATGTTGTGCATTCACAGATCCTTTTATGCATATCTTGTTTGTAACAAATGGTTATTTGAGTTACTTGCCTTTCATCAGCTGCAGTCTGACCCTTTTCCTCTGACATCATAAAGGCATTTTCACACAGAGAAAGGCTTGCTATCAACGCACAGCTGCACTCGTTATAATAGCATGGTTCTGCAGCAAAGCCCAAACTGCAAAGTCACTTCATGCATCCCAAAAGGTTGATTCTGTTCATCTGGACATAGCATTTTCAGTGGGAGAAACATTTTGTCACTCATCCAAGTGACTTCTTTAGTCTCAGC